GTATTTCTTTCTGCGGTTGGGACACCGCTGACACGAAGACTGGTACTATGCAGGACGTTGCAGATGTCTTTCTCGTGAGTAAATGGGTCAACACTTCATGCAATTCATTGTTTGCATTCTCTGCTGGGAAAACAGAGTCCTCAGTTCTCCTTTCTTCAGGTTCCTTTTCCCTTTCCACATGCAGACATGTGGGGTGACGTCGACCACATTTACTGCAGGAGTGACGTCTTCTACATTCCTTAGTTATGTGCCCTTTTTTCAAACATCCAAAACAGAGATGATTTTCATATATGAATTTTTTCTTTTTGTCACTGGTCTTAGCAGCAAAGTCAGGACACTTTATTATGCTATGCATTTTGTCTTTACAAAACAGACAAGGTTTGGGTTTAAGAGTAACTGCTGCTGGCAAGGTAGACTTTGTCTGTGTAGCTGTCTGAAAAGCTTTAGCTCTTCTAAATGATCTGTCTTCTGATTTTTCATTAATCATAAATGGTGAAGCGACAGGATTACAGGCTACTTTTGCTTCCTTTTGGATGAACTGAGTGAAGTGGGCAAAGCTGGGGTACTCTTGAGTTTTTTCTAGCTCTTCCACTACGATGCGACTCCACCTTTGGACTATCCAGCCAGGCAATTTTTGGAGAAGTTTGTGATTTTCCTCACAGTCATTGAGGATTTCTAGGCCCTTTACTTGTGGAATAGCCTCTGTGCAGCTTTGGAGAAAGTCTGCAAACTCTCTTAGTGCTAAGGGGTTATTAGCAGGGATTTTTGGCCATTTTGTTAGCTTAGCTCTAAAGGCTCTTTGAACAATAAATGGACTGCCATACCTCTCCTGTAAAACGTACCAGATGCCCTGGTATGCCTGCTCAGAGTTACGGAAAAAATATCCCTCTACTGCCTTTCTTGCCTCACCTGCAAGATAACTCTTTAGATACAATATTTTCTCACATACAGGTAAGGGTTTGTTGCCAATTAGTGCCATGAAGGATATTTTCCAGTCAACAAACTTTAGAGGGTCACCACTAAAGATACCTGGCTCTGGTACAGGAAGTCGGTTTAGAGTAAGGGAACTGGCAATAGCTTCAACCAAGCTGGGTTCTTCTCGTCCTGCAATGGTGTGGTGATGCTTAAATGATGGAGCCAGTGGATTTAAGGCGGACTGTGTTTGCCTGACAGGATCATTTAAAACATTTTCAAAGTTGTGGCAGGATGCAGCATCATAGCTTTCAATGTCATTTAATACGCTTAAGGCTGTTACACGTGCAGCTGCTATTTTTACTTCACTTTCTGCCTTTAACTGCTGCAGCTTTATTTTTTCATGCTCAAGCTTTGCCTTTGTTTCCACTTCTTCTTCTTTTAACTTTGCCAATGCCATGTTTTCCTTTAATTTCCATTCATTCTCCATTTGGTTGACTTTAGTTTGCTGTGAAAGTATTTCCTGTGTAGTCTTTGCTTGTTCTATTTTCGCTGCAAATTCAGCCTCTGCCTCACGACTGCTTGTAGAATCTGTCTTTGAGCATGCAACTGAGCCCTCTTGAAACGATGTTTCAGTTTTTGTATCACCAAACACAGAACCATAGTCATTTTTGTTAAGCATCACTCTAACCCTTTCTTTTTCAAAATGATCATTAAAGGGCTGATCAATAGTTTCTTGTCGTTTAGCAATGATCTCACAAATGTCTGTTGTTAGCACTGTACAGGCATCCATTCTTTTTACTATTTCAGGGGTCATGTTTTGGTTGCGGAGGATGGGCTCATAATATTGTTGCACCTTCGTATGTTTCTCTCTGATTTCATGGCTGACAGTGTTTAAATTTTCAGATGAGCAGAAAGCCTTCAATTTTGTTCTGATTTCTTTAGCTGACTCCTTCCAAGAATTGTATGCTCTGTTAAATGCTCTTTCATTTTTCTTCATGTTCTGTTCATGCATTTCTTTTCCTTTTTGAGTTAAGTGTCTTTCATGACTACTGGATCTCACCTTTTGCTGCTCTATGCTTTCAGGTTCTTCTGTGGGGCACAACATTTTGTGCCTTTATCAGCAAAGAGTTTGATATGAAGAGCAGTGATGGTAGCAATTATTCTTGATTGGAGTAGTCTCTCTTGGCTGACATGTGGCTTGCGTTGGTCCACCGTGGGGCCAGCTTTCTCTCAGCGCCGAGTTTTCACTGTAGCAGTCCCTCAGACCAAAGAAGAAACGGAGAGCCTCGACGGGTGGAGTTGTTTTCCATTTAATTGATTCATAATGAGTTCACACCGTGAAAACTAAACAAACAAACACAAAATACATCTGCTTAGATACCTTTCTTTGACACAGAACAAAATAAACATCACATAAAGTGCAAAATTTGTAAACAAATAAAGTCTTAAACCTGTACCTCGCTCCGCTGTCCAAGGGCTGCAAAGTTTTTAGCTGTAGGTCCAAAAATCTGCTGCTAACGAGCCTCATCAAGCTGCATTCAGACAAACATGCACCAAGTCCTCATCTCAAACAAAAAAAAGGTGCCTTCTTTCTTCTTCTTATGGGATTTTATGGCGGTTGGCAGACTTGTGAATTGTGCATTACCGCCACCAACTGATATGGAGTAAAGCAAGAAAACAGGAAACGATTCACCCCCCCAAAAAAAAAAAAAAAAAAAAAAAAAAAAAAAAAAAAAAAAAAACCTGTGTAACTTAAACCAACATAATACTAAATCACATTTGCCCATATAATTTTAATTTACTCTAGGTCATCTTAACTCTGCCAGTTTCTGATGGTCCCATCGGTCCTCCCATCATACTTCCAACCATCTCCCAGTTCAAATCTTTAATGTCCAGATATTTTTCTGCAGCCTTCACTATTATTTTGATTTTTTCCGTTTTTTTTTGTTGTCTGTGCAGTACAATTAATAACTTCTACCATGAAAAGAACAAAATTTGTCTTTTTAACAATAAGTGAGTCTTCATCAATTTTTAGAGATTTCTCTAGAGGTTTGGAATTTGCTGTGTGTTGAACTGTAGGTTTGGGTTTTTCTGACTGAGATGGGATCCTTTTTGCAGCTTCAGCGTAGGTTATTCCGAGCTCAAATTTCATTTTTTTAATTTCCTCAGACCTTTTGCTTGCTTCACAGCCGCGATAGGCAGCAGTATGTTCTCCACCACAATTACAGCATTTTATTTTAGCTTCTTTTCCACATTTTCCGTACTCATGTTCTCCTGCACACCTTCCACACCTCTGTTTCCCTTTACAAACTGCTGCAATGTGACCGAATTTTTGGCATTTGAAACATCTCAATGGTGGAGGATTGTAGATTTTGACATTATAGCTTATGTAACCGATGAATACTTTGCTTGGTAATTGCTCTTCTTCGAATTTAATTAGCACAGATAAACTGTCAGATCTTTCTCCGTTTCTTGTTGTTTTTAACCGTTTTACTTCTTTTACTTTTGCACCTCTTATGTTTTCCAGAATCTCTTTTTCAGAAATTTTTAGAGGAACTCCTCCAATGACTCCCCTGCTGAACTTTTTGTTCTCCATTAAGCTGCACTGAACTCTTATCCCGTCAATTTTGTTGATCCGTATTGCTTTGCCTTGCTGGGCGCTGTCTCTGCAGATAATTAGCAGGTCTCCACTGTACAGAATTCTGGCACCTCTGACTTCTCCGACAAGTTTATTGATGGTTTTTGTTAAGTGAACCGGATTCCAATTTGTAAAAGAGTCTGCCTGATTAACGACTTTGAATATGACTTTGAATTCATTTTGTTGTGCTGTGGAATGTATGGAATGATCATCACTGGATTGTTCTGAACTAGATTCCCCTTGAACTGATCTCTGTTTTTTCCGCTTTTTCTCATTTTTTGATGTTGCTATCTTCCAACCTTCATTGTCACTATTTCCCTCTTCCATCCCACAAGAATCGCTTCCTGTTTCCTCACTACTCACGGCCCAAGACATTTCTCCATAAGCAGCTTCAAAACACGCGCCATGCACCAAACGACCATCCACCCTCTCTGAAGGTGCCTTCTTTCATCCTCTCGTCTGTGGGATATTAAGCCCTGAGCACTGACTGACAGGAAGGTAACAAACTTTCTTACTCACACGCAGCTTACTGCCAACTGAGCTACAGCATCCCCTACTGTACAGAAGGAGTAACAGCATTGATTCAGCTTAAAACAAAGAACTGACATTTACAATCAGGTCTAGATTAAAAGGTTTAATTAACTAAATAAACTAAAACTCAGGACCTCAGGACTAATGAGCTCGAGCGGGGGCGCCAAATTCAATTCAATTCAATTCAGCTTATCTATATACCGCCAAATTCACAAAGTTTTCTATCTAAGGAAAACCAGTTGATTGCATTGACTCATTGACTCAAATACAATCCCTCACACTAAGCATGCTTGTAGCGACAGTGGAAAGGAAAAACTCCCTTTTAACAGGAAGAAACCTCCAGCAGAACCAGGCTCAGTGTGAGCAGCCATCTGCCGAGGCCGACTGGGGTTCAAGGAGACAGAAGCAGAGATACAAAAAGCAGCTGTAAAAGGCGGCCCCGTCCAGGAAACACACAGCCAGGCAGACGAGCTCCAAGGCAGCTCCCATGCCAGAGGACGAAGAGAGCACATCCACTCAGTCACGGTCAGAGAAACAGGACCACGCTGGAAAACAGGCTGATCTCCAACATCTATAAACAAGGGTGTTGATGGAAGCAGCACAGCTGATGTTTCTTTCCAGGATGACGTCACAGCCAAACAGGAACAGACGAGGCAAAGCTACCCTGAGGAAAAGCAGAGAGAGAGAAGGTTAGAGATTGAACAAACAGATTCTGCAGAATAGGAGAACAGAGAGAGAATGAAGCAGAATGATGAAATGGGGGTCCCTATGTCCTCCAAAAGTCTAAGCCTATAGCAGCATAACTATAGAGATAGCTCAGGATAACCTGAGCCACCCTAACTATAAGCTTAATCAGGGAACCGGATCAGTCTAAGGAGAAGGAAAAGTGTTAAGCCCCAAAGGTGAAGACCAAGTGGGGAAAAAAACAGAGGGACGTGAGCCTACCACAGAGCGCAGACAATCCGACCGGGGAGGAATACTGTGTGTCCGGGAAACCAGAGAGCGGGGGCAGGAGTGGGACCGAGCAGCACCGGGGAATCCGGGGATCCAGAACAGTGGGAGGAACCAGGAGATCGGCGGGGAAGCCCTGTGTCCAGGGCCGGAGAAACTGACTCAGAGAGAACCAGAGGAACCCGGGAGACAATCGTCTAGGGGGAGACTCAGAGGCACGAGTGGAGGACAAGGAGGGCACCTAGGAGACACAGAAAGCAGGCTTTGAATAGTAGCAAGATAAGCAGGCTAGAGACCGCAACCGATTTGGCATACCAACAACGGTAACACTCTGGCGTCCTCCCGCTGTCCATGTGCTGTTAATATAGTGCAGGGTCGGTGCTGCAAAACTACCTGCAGATGTGCGCACCCCGCCCACCAGTCAGACGACAGACACCTGTGAGGGAAGCAGAGATGGCAAGACCGGCAGGACACACCAGAAGACACATAAACATACCAGAAGACACATAAACATGTTTTTGGCACTAACGGAACCCCATACCTGCAAGCTGAGTCCTGACAAGATGTCTTGTTGTTATGTGCTTTTATTTGGCAGCAGACGGTCCCGGCTGTGCAGTTGAGCAGCTTTTTGAAGCTTTTTGGAGCTTGTTGTCTAGCTGTGTCTTCTGACTAGACTTTGTTGTTGTTTTTGTTCCAGATGGTCCAGCTTTATCTATTTCTCCCATGGTCCCCTGCAACAACCATGGACTCTCCAACAATCCATTGACTGTGATCCGGTTTTCTGGCACAGGCTGCAGAATGCTGTGGATCAGCTCTTTTGCTTGTGTTGAAACAGATGAAGTGGTTGGGAAGGTAATTCTTCGCTTCATTTGAAGTCGCACAAATTCTTCTCAGTTTCTGTTTTTGAAAGGAAGCGATCCAAAGAGCATCTTATACAACACAATGCCCATACTCCATACATCATTAAGCTTAGGGTTGTATGGACGATGTTTTAAGATTTCTGGTGCTTGATAGTTTGGAGTACCACAGAAGTCACTACTCAGCACCAACTTGCCGTTGGTATAAGCCAGCCTCTTGCTGATGGAAAAGTCACACAGTTTGAGGTTATAGTTGGTGTCCAGCAGAAGGTTGTCACATTTTATGTCTCTGTGGGCAATATTGATGCCATGAAGATATTGAATAGCTAGACACAGCTGTTTAGTCTGCAGCTGAGGCCTTCCTCTAAAGTCCCTTTGGAAGCAATAAAATCTTTGAGATCTCCATTTGGACAAAGCTCCATGACCACATACACCTGAAGATAGGAAATAAAGTAATTAATCAGTAAATTATATTATTCTGTTAAAACAACAATACAAGTTTTACGCATGTTTTCCTTACAGTCATATTTCAAAAAAAGGAACACGTTTTTTTTCCCTTGTAAAGATTCTGTAGATTTGTTTTTTAAAGGCTTTAAATGAAATTGGTTATTTTTTCTACCATTGTGTTTACATAAGCTCATTTTCACCATATTCTTTACAGAGTAAAATAGCATTTTAATGAACAGTGAGAAAAAAAGAATCACAGGCTATATTGCAGCAGAAGTATCATAGCTTCTGTTGCTGTCCAATGGCAGTCTGTCCAAGGAAGCAAGATTGGTTTTTCGGAAGCATCTTGCAAACCAGTTAGTAACTTAGTGCTAGTAGTTTTCCAATGGGAAATTACATTGGGACCAAGCAGCACTAAATTGGTGACTAAGAAACGACATTGGCAAGGAACGCTATAGACAGCGAAAACATGCAAGAGGAGGAGAGTTTTGTGTCAGATGTCCTCCTCCGTCATACATTTTTTTATTTAGAGGAGAAAAGTGTGAAAAAAGTTGTTATGGAAGAGGACGCCGGGGCAGCAAAAGCTTAATTTGGTGTAGAAGGCTTACAGCCGTACATGTTTGAGCCCTTGCCTTGTAACTCTACCAGTTCTGTTAGCTCTACACCTGCCGAAGACACAGACATCCATCTCTGTGAACACTGGGAGGTAACTGAATGGTAAAGTAAATGATTCTTAATTCTTATTTCAACTGTTGCGTATATTAGCTGCGACATATGAATCAAGATGCTATGACCGAAAAAATTTGATTGACAGATGACCGTTGATATATGATTGGTCGAATTTAGGTGTACAAACTGGTGTATAACTAACTGGCCTGCATAAGATAACAAAAAAAAAAAAAAAAAAAAAAACAGATTTTAAGGCAGGATTTTTTTTTTATAGAAATTTTCCAACTTTTGGTACAATATAGTCTGATAAAGAGTACATTTATATACATGTTTAAGCCAGAATTATTTTACATTTAAATATTACTTCCCTACATCTTTAAAGCAATTTAAAAAAAACGCATCAAAGCAAATAAAGCCAAACTGCTCTCTAGTTTCACGACAGAACAGAGCAGAGAAACTGAGAATCCAGAGCCTTTGGAAATTCAAAGCATGTTGACCACAGTTGACATAGGGTATACATTTTTGCATTTAAGATTTATTGATACCCAGAACGCATTGGGTGTGAACGCACTGTATGAGAACAGGTACTGTATAAACCCTTAAAGGAATAGTACACCCAAAACATGATTAGCCTTCATTTTCTACTCACCCCCATGCTGAACAACACTCTGGAGTACTTTTTTGATATCTCAAATGCATCTGGAGATCTGGGAGGCTTCTTGCTGTCTGCTGACATTCAAATAATGGAGGTCTATGGTGCCCGAGGCAGAAAGGTCCATAAAAGTCCCAAAAAACGTGTCAATATCCCTCCATACTGCTCGTCCAATGTATTCCAAGTGTCCTGAGTGGGTAGCGTCCATAATTTACTCGAAACTAAGTCATTTAGAATGTTTTTAGAGCATAAACAGTAGTGTATAGGATTTCCTAAAAGTGTGTCACGGAAACCACGGCAGACCAAACCAGATGAAAGTGCGCATTCAGCGTCTGCTCTGCCGATAATGCAAGCGTAGAAGAAGAAATGTGCTGTTTACCTGTGCAAAGAAAGAAAAATGTCTGAGGACTTCAGTGTTGAGGAAGAGCATGAGTTCTTTGCCGAGCTGAATGCGCACTTTCGTCTGGTTTGGTCTGCCGCGGTTTCCGTAGACTCGTGAACGCGCTTTTAGGAAATCCTATACACTACTGTTTATGCTCTAAAAACATTCTAAATGACTTCGTTTCGAGTAAATTCTGGATGCTACCCACTCAGGACACTTGGAATACATTGGACGAGCAGTATGGAGGAATATTGACACGTTTTTTGTGGACTTTTATGGACCTTTCTGCCTCGGGCACCATAGACCTCCATTATTTGAATGTCAGCAGACAGCAAGAAGCCTCCCAGATCTCCAGATGCATTTGAGATATCAAAAAAGTACTCCAGAGTGTTGTTCAGCATGGGGGTGAGTAGAAAATGAAGGCTAATCATGTTTTGGGTGTACTATTCCTTTAAGATGGTTTACTAATGTTACTAGCCCCAACTAGAAAGAAAGCAGCACAGTGAAAGTGACGCTTCTAGATAGTTTACTTTCTCCCTGTGTTTTACAGCAGTAATTTCATTAGAATATATACATTAATATATCAGATTCACCCTTGATTTTTAAAAAGTTTTTCCCCAGAAACAAGTGAAAAAGCTTGCATTAGTCGCAGAAAAAAGAACAACATCAAGAAGAGACAGGAACACTGCTAGGACAAAATCCTGGGATTGCACTCATTACAAATTATCTTTACGGCAACAGGTTTCTTCAGACGATACGACTGTGCTTTCACAACTTGGCCAAATGCTCCCCGTCCCAGCGTTCTTATAAACTTGTAGCCTTCAGTTTCAATGAAGGTTTTATCCATTGTAACGGATAAAGGCGAGAGGTAATATCTAATAACAAACCAGAACTAGATTGTTAAATCATGTACTGTAGATGTTAATAATATCAGTTATGTTTTCAGAACTGTTCCTTAGCAACCATAACAAAAAAACATTCAATTTTTTAAATAACGCTTTTTGCCTCTGTTATGTTCTTCACAAACTGAATAGATTACTTAATTTAAAACAATAGAAGGAGAGTAATTATTTATATTTACTTTCAAATGTTTAAAGACTGAAATTATTAATTGTATAAGGCTCGGGCACAGCGCGTTGCATTCTGGGTACGCCGCCATATTGGCAGCTAGTTGCTACGGTAAACAAAGACCTAAAACAGCACCTAGAAAGAGCACAAAGACGAGTAAACAGCGATGTTAAAAGCGAAGAAAGGATGCGGAATATACCGAGACACACTGCAGAGGGAAGCCAGGGACCGTTATCTGCAAAAGATGGGCTTCATAAACGGACTTGATCCCTACGAAGTAGAAAGCAAGGAGTGGTGCGTTGGGGAAGAATTTCTACCGCCGTTTGCGAGGGAGGACATATTTTCCTATCTAGTGTGTGGCGTCAGTGCCTACACACATGAAGAATTTCGCTGCTACAAGTCGCTAGAGGCTTACAAACAGCTGACAGATGGAAAAGTTCACGACATGGAAGTAATCAAACCGAATGAGAACACAGTCATCAGAGCCAAGGTAAGTATGTTCTGTAACTTACCAGAATGAAAATGCCGGGAACACACTCTCATGGACACTGGGATTGAGTTGAAAGTTATATTTGGCCGTCTTACAGCAGCGACCCATGCTAGCCGGCGACTCTTTGTTATGGAGGACATTTGTTTTCCATTGAGATGCCTCCAGGTTGGAAAACGGTAAAAAGACAATCCATTTGGGATTTTTTTCCCCGTCCAGTCACAGCTTGCGCTACTACACCCTACTGCACAGCAACGGGTGACCATAACGACATCAGAGGTAAAATGAAACGGCAAAAAACTAAGCAAACTACTAGCAGAAGAAAGCTAGTCCTTACAGGCGCGAAGTCAAAGTGTAAACAATGGGCTGACCAGCTTTCAATATGGCTGCCGCACAAGGTGTGACGTCATGTGCCCGAGCCTTATTGTGGAGGAGTGACGATGACAACACAAAGCAGGCAGGTTTAAACAGTTCTTTACTCTACTCCAACTGAGAGCAACTGTACAGAAAATCCATATATATATACACATCCAAACAAACATAACTGCAACCTCTCCACTGAGTGAGAGTGGAGCCCCCTAGTGCAGTGTTTTTCAATCCTGGTCCTCAAGGCACCCTGCTCTGCATGTTTTGGATGTTTCTGAGAATCAGCTAACCTGATTCAGATGATTGCAGTTCAGCAAAGCCTGATAATCTGCTATCAATTGATAACAGGTGTGGGAAAGCTGGGAAATATCTAAAACATGCAGGGCAGGGTGCCTTGAGGACCAGGATTGAAAAACACTGCCCTTGTGGTCCCCCCCCCCCCCCCCCCCAAACACTATAGGGTAAAAAAACAAAACAAAAAAACTAGTCCAGATCCTTTTGTTTCAACAAACATCCAAAACGGCTGAACTTGAAACCTGTAGGATCGTCCTGGGCCATCCGTGCCTTAGGACGAGGGCGACACGGAGGGGCTGCAGGGGAATTGAGCTCCGATAGATGAGGATCTCTGGAGGGAGAACAGCGGTCCATTAAAATAGTGGAGGGGGGTCTTCCCCTGCGAGGAGCTCGGGCCGTTACCACCTGATCGTCTGCCAGGACATGAGCAGGTTTGAGCCAGTCAATACAGATTGTTTCCTTACGCCCTCCCAAATCCAAAAGAAAATGTTTAGGCCCTGGTTCAAGGACCCTGAAAGGGCCATCATACATAGGTCGTACTGTAGGGGTGATCTGTGTGCATCGTGTCGAACAAAAACAAATTTAGAGGTCTCTAAGTTCTCAGGAACAAAAGACTGTGGCAAACAATTGTGAACAGTGGTAGGAACACGAAAGGAGTCTCACTGAGGGAAAAAACGTTGCCCAAGTGGACTGAACTGTGGCGTAGGCGAATCAGGTAAAAATGCCCCAGGGACACGCAGGGGCTGACCGAAAACCAGTTCAGCTGTGGAAGCGCCAAGGTCCTCCTTAACAGCTGAACGCAAACCAAGCATGACCCATGGAATGCGGTCAACCCAGTTCCCATCAGTCAAAGAAGCACGGAGCGCAGCTTTCAATGACCTGTGGAACCGCTCAAACAACCCATTAGCCTGCAGATTGTATGCAGTGGTGCGGTGGATCTTGACCCCCAGACCATCGGCCATGACGGACCAAAGCTCTGAAACGAACTGTGGGCC